GTTAAAATTTGTTTAATTAAAATGTATTGTTGGTATAAATGTTACTGGAAGATGTACGGGATTCAATATGCAGCGCGCGCCTGTTATATGTACTAGTACATATAAAATTTTTCATTCCGTAGAAGGAAGTTGACTTCATAGGTAGAGATGCTCTTTTGAGACAGCGTGAGCAAGGAGTCCAGCGCAAGTACGTGCAATTACTGTTAAACGATCACGATCTCGAGTTTGATACTTGGTGCTGGGGTGGCGAGCCTATTTATCGAAACGGAAGGCATTGCGGAATGACAACCACCACGGGTTACGGATTTACGTTCAAAAAACAGGTGAATTTAGTTTTGCATGCTTTTCGAGGGGGGGGGGGAACCTATAGGATTTACGAGATCACCGACTTTTTTTCTCCTTGAAATAACTTGTTGAATGATCTACAGGTGTGTCTTGGATTTGTGCAGAATTTCGATTCGAAAGGTCAACCACAAGAGGTGACAAACGAGTACGTATTATCGGGCGATTACGAAGTGAACGTCGCGGGTATCATGTACCCTGCAAAGTGTCACTTGCACAGTCCGAATTTACCGACCAAATTCCCCGATAAAGAGAGAGACGCTTATCACGCTACGCGCGACCAACAATCTTTGTAATCTCCCGTTTAGAAATAATATTTCAAGTCTGTACAAACGATGTATATAGCAAAAGATTGAATAAATCGTTTAATAAGTATCACTCAAAAATTCGCTACATCGAAAAATCTAAAAATCGCAGTAGAAATCCTCCAGGCCAAATAATCGTGTAAATAAATTACATTTCGGCCTGTTATTTCTCATTATTATTTATGTAATTTTTCTTAAAAAATCATATCTATGTATATATTAGTATCCTACGCTATGTCACAGATTCTCAAAACGTATCGTATACTTAAATAATAATAGTTCCTAAAGCGTTTATCTCTCTCTACAAATATCTGTCTCGCATTGTACAACATATTCCATGCTTATATACCTTTTTTCGGGAATACAGATTTGCAATAAATCGTACACGTGCGCGAGAAACATTCGTCGTAATTGCATTTGTTGAACACCATTTGTTATTTTTTTTTCTTTTTTTTCCATGAACTCCTGAGTTCTCCACCACGATACACTTTATTATCTATATACTGACATTTGCATTATGTGTACAATGTCGTTTATATATAATACACAGTGTGATGAAATACATTGTCCGAAAGACACGTTCAGTGAGGTGTATGAGGTTTTGCTCCCCTTAATCGACGTTTCTCCTTATTAAAATATTAACGCAATAATTGTCTCACTTACACCTTATTTAAATCGATACACACTTATTTACGATTACTCAATATCTATCCATCTCAAAAAAACTGAAACGCGATAGTTTATCCCTACCAACAACTTTTTACACGCAACAATCAGTCACTTTCATTTTACTGTACACACACAGCAGCATTTGAGGAGTGAAACGCTCTATCACTCTGGAATCTCCGTCTCCGTTGTGGGCACCTGCTTCTGTACCATACACGATCTAGCTACGGATTCGAACAATCTGAAACAATAACGAATGCCGAATTTTAAGAAAAAGAAGAAATCGCTCGATTGTGTAGGTAAAAAAAAAAAAAAAAAATGTGTGGGTTTAAATTTTTACATTTGACTAATGCTAAATGCAGCCAATTCTAATTTCTATTTCTCTTATCAGTTCGACTTTATCAGATCGATTCCTTTTTGTCAAAGAATGTAATATCGATATAATAACACTTGTCATTCAATGCTGAATATAATTGAATTTTAATTCGTTTTAGCATCATTTTTATTAAAAAATAAAGATTCGCGCGATATCTCCTGCTGGATATAAAATTGAGATTATATTAACATTTAATTTCTAAAAAAATTAAGAAATAAGACTTACTTCTCAATTTCCGGCGCGCAATGTACAAACTCGTGTGACCAGAATTTATACGTCGGATTCTTGATTAGTTCGATAAAGGTGATGAGAAGTCCCCATGGATGTGGTCTGTTTACAATCAGTCTTTCCAGAAGAACCCTCGTGATCTGCTCCTGTATCGCTTCCGTATTCGCTTCGGCGAACAAGTACAGAATCGTACAACTGAAGTAATGCGTGTGACTGTTAGGATATCGCAACTGATTCGCTATGGCGTTTAGGAACAAATAACGGCCCTCGGTATCCAGATCGACGGCTAAATTCTGGAAGATATCCATGTGCGCGGAGTGCGCGATGGTAGACATGTTAGGAGCGTGGCCCTTGTTGCGAATAAATCCTATAGCTTGCGTGCCTACGTAGAGCACCAGAGCGTTCATTAGCTGTATATTATAACGCACGCCGGCCTCTTGCGAAACCTGCAAATTGCTGCGAAGTTCTGACAGGAAGGTGACCGGCGCGCGAGCCTTCAGATAGGAGTCGAGCTCCTTCTTGAAAGTCAACGGCTGTATAGTGGACGCGAAATTGGTGAGGACACGCGGGGCATGCGCTATCTCCTGCAGCATGTCAACCTTCAGATTCGGCGTGAACGGATCGGGTAGACGCATATTTCTCGGAAACGCGCTCAAAATAAGATTTCTCATTTGTATGCAATTCGGTGGTATCACATCGCAAAATCCATAGTGATAATCGCAAAGGAACTCTGGAAAATCATGGAGCAGCACGAGCAATACACGTAGCGTCCCTTTGTATAAACTCGTTACAGGCTTCGCCAGCTCCGCGTTTCGTAGATAGGGTGCGAGATACTTGAACAGATCGATGAGAAGTTGCGCGTACATCCCCCAGCACTTTTGCTGCGGCGTGATAGCCAGCATGCGGCCGATGAAGACTCGGTGCGAGACCAACTCCAGCCAGGCGTAACAGAAGCCTGACGCTTTCGCCGGTCGTAGGATGTGCAGGGTGTGGCAGAAGGCAGTTAGAACTTGGAAATTTACGGCCTCCAGTACCGGCTCGGGCGCGCACAATTCCAAGAAGAGCATAATAAAGATTCTGTGGTACGGCAATTGTTGGAAATCGGCACCACGTATCTCGTGGTCCTGTAACAGCACACCGGCTACGATACCAAGTACCTTATTCAAAAGGTTTATCTTGGTGTGGGTATTAGTAGCGTCACCCGAGTGCTTCACCAGAAGTGCGACGAGACGTACGAACGCGTCCAGTGAATGGAAGCACTTTGCACGTATGATCGATGGAGCTAAGCCAGTTTCTGATAGAGTTCGGTAACAAAGGTCGACGCACATCTGTGTGCTTAGCTTGAAGAATCTCGTGATGAGATCGTCAGTCTTCAGGATGCCATGGATGTTCATTTGATGAACAAATATGCTAAACGCTTTCGTGGGGTCTCGTGCGTACTGCGGATTATGGTGCATTTGCACCCATTCACGTAACAGATACTCCGTCTTGTCCATCAATCCAGGTGGATCGTCGAAATCACGAGCCTGTAAAACGCGAATGTATGCCACATGTTAATCGTTTAGGGCTTACGACATACTTGCGAGAGACTTTGGTATTTCGTACTCTTTGTTAGTTCGTCGGCATCGTCTCGGAATTATTATTGGAAAACATTCTTTATGATCGCAGACTAATTGAAGAGAATCAATAAAAATTGCAGCGTTTATAGCATAAACTATTATTCCACGCAATACTTTTTAACAACTGTTTAACACTTAATAATATAATACCGACAATAAATAATCGTTAACAGTAGCAGTACAAAATATCGCTGAAAATCTACTGGATAATCTGGACAATCTACTTACTCTCACCTGCAGGATTCCAGAATGAATATGCGCCGTAGGTCCTGCTGGTGCTCTATCTACCAATACACCGGAATCGTGATTTGCACGCAGTGACTCTACTAAACTTGTCAATCTGTAGAGCGAGATTCTGAAATGATATGAACACTTTTATATATATATATATATATATATATATATATATATATATATGTCTAAATACATACAAGTACTCGCTTTACTTATTTCGTGCTGTGAAATCATGTAAATAATCAAGCGCGCGTTTTTTAATGTTAACATTCTGTCAAAATATAAAATATCTCATAAAGTAGACAATTTTACTTTAATATTTTAATATTGCCTTATTACTTATAAGGGCAAAAATCGATTAATATTTTCACTTTTTACGTATAAATATATACAAACAAGTAACCTGAACAAATATATAATAAAAAAATTTAAAAAAAAACCATCTCTAAAAGATAAAAAAAACGAGAGAATAGGAAGTGGTATAACTGTACAAGAAATAGATATTTTAAAAAAATTCGGAGAAGCATGATTTATGAAATGGATTCAGATTATACATTTGTTAAACGTTTTCGGAAATAAGGATTTATAATAATAATAATACCCTTCTGGTGGTGTTCGATGATGTGACATTCGAGCCAATATTTCAATTGTGTGGAATAAATCAGTTTCGGTAACATGAGTCGCTTGTCTCTCGTCAATCAAGTAAAGTTGAACCAACTGCATAGCGAATACTGTTGCCAAGGCATTTCCCGCCTCTACAGCTTGCGCTACAGCTATGTCGTATTGCGGAAGACTAATCAAGTGAGATCTGCAAAATATTATCATCCGTAATAACAATATCTTCTAGGTGTTCTCCAAAGGACATAACATTTATCGCTGTCCTTACCTTATGAGGTAGTCTACGGCTTCGAAATTATACCGATAGTCCTCTCGGCATTCGATCAAACAACGAGTCACGTGCTTGTTGGTCCATTGCATACCGTACGCACGTGGATCTTGAAGTGTCTTCAAAATTCGTAAGTGCAATTCTCTGTAGCGTTGTATTAGATTATCAGAGTCGATGACGCCGCTGTTAATGATGGGCCCATCTAGCAAACCTTCGACAGCCTGTGAAATAATTATTGGTCAGTTCTGCCTCTTATGTACTACAATCTTATGATTTATTTAATTGAATATCGCGTTTACTCGCGTAACTCACTTTCTTCAATAATGTCATAGCTGCATTGGCATCTCTTGATCTTCTCGTGAGTATTATCGATTCCAGAAGACTATGAAGAAGAGTGTGCTGCGCTGGAGGTACCGCAGATGCTATAGCGTTCATTAGGACTTCAACTTCCGCCGCAAGTTTTTCCAACATTGCACCCACTTCGTCGTTGCTAACTGCTACAGTTGCATAGGCTGCTACTTGTTGTGCTGTAGCAACTGCCACCGCAGAGTTGGGCGTGAATGCGGTGAGAGGAGCCTCCTTTAGGGCATAATAAAGAAATGAAAAAAACCGAATGAGATTTTGTATATCGCAAATTTTTCCGATATATATATAAGGCATAAAAGAAATAATTCTTACAGAAATAGGTTTCGGTATAAAGAGTGTTTGCGTATCTCGTTCAGAGAGCGGAAGAAATCCTGGAATATTTCTAGCAAATTCTTCATATACAGCCATTTGTTGAGGCGTTACGCCACCGAGTTTAAGCCTTATCTGCTCCGGCATTCTCTCGGCTTGATACTTAGCAAGAGGATCACAGTATCTTCTCCCTTCTTGACGAGCGATTTTTCGCAACTCAATTTCGTTCAATAGCCGTTTGTCCATTTCGGGTACTGCTTTCTCAATAGCTGTCTTTTGTACGAACGCACATGCGAGTTCCATGTTTTCAGTAGCGACTTGATTTGCCGCAAGTTCAACAAGTTCTTTCTGCTGCGGAGTCGTACCGATCAACGCCGTGAGAAAGGCTTGTTTTAAA